TTCAGGTGACATTGTTGTTTTGGTGCTGTTGGATTTATCATCTGCTTTTGATACAGTTGATGATGTCATTTTACTTTCCCGTCTGGAACAGTGGGTGGGCGTCGGTCACATAGTTCTAGATTGGTTTAGATCATATTTGGCTGAACGTACTTTTTGTGTCTGTCTTGATGGCCATAGGTCCCCCTCTGCTCCACTGTGGTGTGGTGTCCCACAGGGCTCAGTTCTAGGCCTGCTCCTTTTCTCACTTTACCTTCTTCCGCTTGGCTCTATTTTCAGAAAACATGGGATTGCCTTTCACTGCTATGCAGATGACACACAGATATACTTACCGCTAAAGAATGTAAACTCCACCTCTCTTCTGTCTCTGTTTTTATGTCTTGAAGATGTGAAGGCCTGGGTGGCCCTAAATTTTTTAAAAGTCAATGAGGACAAGACGGACGTAATGATCTTTGACAGATCCACTGCTGATACGGTGACCAGTCTTGGCTCCTTGGCTCATTTAGGGGTTAAGATGGATGCTGGTCTTAAAGGAATAGTACACCCAAAACATGATTAGCCTTCATTTTCTACTCACCCCCATGCTGAAAGAAACTCTGGAGTACTTTTTTGATATCTCAAATGCATCTGGAGATCTGGGAGGCTTCTTGCTGTCTGCTGACATTCAAATAATGGAGGTCTATGGCGCCCGAGACAGAAAGGTCCACAAAAGTCCACAAAAACTTGTCAATATTCCTCCATACTGCTCGTCCAATGTAATCCAAGTGTCCTGAGTGGGTAGCATCCAGAATTTACTCGAAACGAAGTCATTTAGAATGTTTTTAGAGCCTAAACAGTAGTGTATAGGATTTCCTAATAGCGCCCCCATGCGCGCTCACGATTCTACGGAAGCCGGCAGACCAAACCAGCGCATTCAGCTCGGCAAAGAACTCATGCTCTTCCTCAACACTGAAGTCCTCAGACATTTTTCTTTCGTTGTTTCTTTCTTTGCACAGGTAAACAGCACATTTCTTCTTCTACGCTTGCATTATCGGCAGACCAGACGCTGAATGCGCACTTTCTTCCGGTTTGGTCTGCCGGCTTCCGTAGAATCGTGAGCGCGCATGGGGGCGCTATTAGGAAATCCTATACACTACTGTTTATGCTCTAAAAACATTCTAAATGACTTCGTTTCGAGTAAATTCTGGATGCTACCCACTCAGGACACTTGGATTACATTGGACGAGCAGTATGGAGGAATATTGACACGTTTTTGTGGACTTTTATGGACCTTTCTGTCTCGGGCGCCATGGACCTCCATTATTTGAATGTCAGCAGACAGCAAGAAGCCTCCCAGATCTCTAGATGCATTTGAGATATCAAAAAAGTACTCCAGAGTGTTGTTCAGCATGGAGGTGAGTAGAAAATGAAGGCTAATCATGTTTTGGGTGTACTATTCCTTTAAATTGGAAGCGCACATCAGAGCCGTTATAAAGTCCAGCTTTTTCCACTTAAGGCAGCTAGCAAAAGTAAAACTCTTTCCAGACAGCATTTCGAAACAGTGATCCATGCATTTGTGACCACACGGCTGGATTACTGTAACTCACTTTATACAGGGGTCAGTGACTTGTATATTTCTCATCTTCAGAGGGTTCAAAATGCTGCTGCACGTCTTTTAACAGGTACACGAAAATTCGACCACATTTCCCCTATTTTAGCTTCCTTACACTGGCTGCCAGTACATTTTAGGATTAATTTTAAAATTCTTTTATTTGTTTTTAAAACTCTTAATGGCCTTGCTCCTTCTTATCTTTCTGAGCTGTTACATTCTTATACACCCTCCCGTTCCCTCAGGTCAGCTGATCAGTTGCTTCTGAGGGTCCCAAAGACAAAATGCAAGCACAGAAGAGACCGTGCTTTTTCTGTGGCAGCTCCTAAGCTGTGGAATGATCTGCCTCTGAGCAGAAGACAGGCCTCTTCTCTTGCTGTTTTTAAGTCCCTTCTTAAGACTCATCTTTTTTCCTTGGCTTTTGGCACAATTTGAGAGGTTTTACTTTGTTTTATTCTTTTTGTATACTAATATGTATTTTAGACTAGTTTTTTCTCTATTTTATAATTTTATTGTATTTTATGATTATGTACAGCACTTTGGTCCTGTTCGGTGTATAAAGTGCTTCATAAATAAAGTTGGTATGGTATGGTATGAATAAAGGACACCTGTCCACTTAGACCCCAACCTGTCCATCATCATCAGACCAAAGAGCTGTGAGGAAGCAGAGATAGTAGACCTGCTACAGGACGACAGTTCAGCAGCCCGCTGAGAGGAAAACATCTGCTGGGAGAAACTCTAGATGAGCATCAGCTGCATCATCCTGGGGCTCTAGATCCTGTTCCTCACAGCTGAAGTGTTCCTATGATGTACTCTAGACCTGAGACAGCTGATGGATCAGATCCGTATTTCCCCACAGATTCCATGCAGCGTATCAATGGAAACCACATTTACTGCTGAAATGAGTCCATTCTTCACTGAGATAAAAGGAAATGTGTCATCATGTGGGAAAGCTTCCTTTTAAATCCTAACATTTTAATCTCCAATCAGTTTTGGGATTTTCTTTTCTTTGTTGTTGAAGGTTGAGCTTCAGATAATAACAACTAGATGCTGCTTCACTTACAGGCTTTAAATCTTTCTTTTCTCATTTCCACCAATCAGTTCCAGTCTTGGATGTTTTGATCTGAATCCTTCCTCATGTTGCTCCTTTTTTCCAATGCTGTTCTGATGTCTGAGAGCGACTCGTTTTGATAGCATCTCCTTAAATAAAAATCAGGCACTTTACTCCCGACCAGCTCACAGAGCCTTTCACTCTCTCCATTTACGACATTTTTAGTTTGATAGCAGAGGTACGATTACCTAGCGGCACAGAAACTGGGGGTCGATCTAATGAGTAAGGCTGTGTTTAAAAAAAAAAAGATTTCACAATTTAGATTCTAAATTGTGTTTGTCTAAACGTGTTTGGATAGATTTAGATAGATTCTCATTAACTGCTAAAGATTGATATAATCAAAGACTGATTTAACAGAGTATGCATTTTTCATTGTCCTTGAGTACCATTACTTTATTAGCTAACGGCTACAAAACTTCTTTTAAACTAGCAATCCAATTTAAGACCAGAACAAACCAAAAATAGATGTAAATAACAGAATGATGTAACGTATTACACTTCAGGGGTTGGCAATAAGGATTTTTACCACTTGCCGTTCGGGCAAGTGACTTTCACATTTCATTTGCCCAGAAAACAATTTTCACTTGCCCAGTAAAATGTTTGATAAATATAGTTCCTAATATTAATTTTTGTAAATACATCAATGACTGTTTTTTGTAATTCAGTATTTTTTAACTTTCCAGGTTCCTGGTGTGTATATACATGCGTCAGATAATGAACTCAAGCCTACATTACTGTGTTAACATGCTTTTCAATCCTTCCTGCACTTTCTTTTCAAACTAAACTTTGCTTTAAACTGATGTGTGCTTGAAAAATATAAATTGTAATGTTAAAAATCTAAAAAAAACTTGACAGGTTAAAAACTTAAGATAAATCACAAGACAGAAGTCAATGTCACAAATGAATAACTTATTTTAGAGTCACGGTATGTTTATTCAAGATAATACTATTAATATAATGTGACTTTTCTAGAGAATCATTATACATAGTTATTTTATTCAGGGTTTCCACAGTCTGACATCATTTCAGAATTCCCTGACTTTTAACTGACTCAGGATTAGTTTTCCCTGACAAAATAAATGCAGCAACAAGACAATAATAAGAACATAACAGGTCACAAATCTAACATGTTTAGCTCTGTAATATTTAAATGCACCTCTCCAATGTCGAAGAGAAAAAATGTAATGAAAATTTTTTAATGTATGACCTGCATCACAGTACAGAAGACTGCAATATGATAGCGCTTTCTAGCTTGTTTGTTGTTTTGGTAACTATATCAAAATTACTGCTAGGTGGACAGAAATCCCGCCATTTGGCGGAAAATCCCCCGGCTTTTTCAAATCACGTGAGAATGTGTACAAAACAACAAAAATGGCGCTGGCAACACATCTGGGTTGTTTTCATCGAATGTCGGTGATTTTAAAGTAATTTTGAGTGATAATTCTTTTTTTGCGATCATTGCATTTGCCCACCGGACAAGTGCAATGAAATTTGTACTCTCCCGACAATAAAAACTACTTGCCCAGGGGAGATCGGGCGATAGTTAACATTGAGCCCTGCAATGATTTATGTTATTAGATAGTTACAAATTCTCAGTAATAGTTACAGCTGCTGACTACTATCAGATGATACTGGCTTACTTTTGACCGTATATAATGTAGCTAGCTAGGGTAACCCCTAAAAGCTAATGCTAGCTTATGTCAGCTAACGGTACCTTAAAGCCTCTCTTAAACATATACCCCACTCCAAGCATTCAAATCATTTGACCCTGCACTGGATATTTGGAGCCTAAAAAAACCCAGCAGAAAATGAATGAACATGAAGTCATCTCTTATTGGAAGACCGATTGTTAAAGTTTGTTGGATGTTCATCACGAGTAGACGTCACCTGAGTAGCTAAAACAAAGTAGATCCTACATCACTATACGATAAACATACTTTCCATATGTCCCACTGTGTGTTGCTGTCCTCTGAACATCAGCTAGCATACATGAGGTGGTGTTGTCAAGTTATGTGGGGTTTCTAGCTTCAGCTCCTCCCCAAACTTGAAAACGGCTGGTCATCACCAAGAAGGACGCTAGGCACAACTCAAATCCTTTTCCATTTTTGCTTTTTATTTGGGATCTTGGATTGGGATTTAGGTTGAAAACCTTTCAAACAAATTGACAAACAGAAGTGTATTAGTTTAAAACAAACAATTTGACCAACAGAAACTGAATTAGTTCAAAACAAAGATTTTCCACTGTGGCTCACCCATAAGCACAAACAAACTGAATGTTACCAGGCCACGAGCCATACTGCAATATCTTTTAACTCAACCTCAACTTTTTTTTTTCAATAAACAATATAATAATAATAGCTAACTTTATTTTCTTCTTACCAGTTGTGTATCTGGTGATTAAACCATGAGCTTAAACATGCTTGCCAGGAGCCAGTCTCTTCCTTTGTCTGTCAAAACTGCCACACATGGGTGTGCAGGTGTTTTAATCATAGGAAGGCCCAACCCCCAACACAAGTTCACTCCTCTTTTCTCCTGTGCTTATTTTTTGACATGACAAGCGTTAAATATGCTAACGCTGTTGCCGCCGATAGTAGGGCCACCTGCAGTAGGTTAACGAAGTGTCCGATGTTTTCCTGGTATCAATGGGCCCAGAAGAGCCGCTTTAAGGTCCAGTTTAGTTTAACTCATTCAGCACAGGATCAGAAAACCAGATGTTTTCATTCTGCAGGTCAGACCCTTTGGCAGCGCTTCTTGTGGCACTGCAAGTCGCTGGATTGTCTGAAGGTTTTCCCACACAGTTTGCAGGAATATGACTTCTCCGTGTGCGTCCTCATGTGGTAGATCAGCCCCCCCCCTTGAGTGAAGGTTTTGTGACACACTTTGCAGGTAAACGGCTTCTCTCCTGTGTGAACCCTCATGTGGATGTTCATAGCGGCCCTCCTGACGAAGCCCTTCCCACACTCGCTGCAGGGGTAGGGCTTTTCCCCTGTGTGAGTTCTGACGTGACAGGTGAGGTTGTTGCTCCGGCTGAAGCGCTTGTGGCAGATGTGGCAGGAGAAAGGCTTCTCCCCCGTGTGCTGCCTCAGGTGGCGCACCAGGTGACTGTTCAAGCCGAACTTTTCCCCGCAAATCTTACAGGTAAACGGCTTCTCTCCTGTGTGAACCCTCATGTGGATGTTCATAGCGCCCCTCCTGCTGAAGCCCTTCCCGCACACACTGCAGGGGTAGGGCTTTTCCCCTGTGTGAGTTCTGACGTGACAGGTCAGGTTGTTGCTCTGTCTGAAGGTCTTGTTGCAGATGTGGCAGGAGAAGGGCTTCTCACCGGTGTGCCGCCTCAGGTGGCGCACCAGGTTACTGTTCAAGCCGAACTTTTCCCCGCAGATCTTACAGGAGAAGGGCTTTTCACCGGTGTGCGTAATCATATGGCGGAAGGCATTGTACTGCGAAGTGAAGCGCCGCGTACACAGCTCACAGGAGTAAGGCTTCTCGTTCTGGTGCGTGTCTCGGTGGTCTTGCAGCAGCAACATGTTGGAGAACTTTTTGCCACAGGTCTTACAAACAAAGGGTTTGGGTTCATTAGAGTCTTCAGACTGCTGGGAGCTCACTTCTTCCTGCTCCTCTTGAGTTTGATGTTCCTGGCAGCGCTTCTTGTGGGACAGCAAGTGGCTGGATTGTCTGAAGGTTTTCCCACACAGTTTGCAGGAATACGGCTTCTCCCCTGTGTGTGTCCTCATGTGGAAGCTTAGCCCATTCCATCGACTGAAGGTTTTGTGACACACTTTGCAGGTAAACGGCTTCTCTCCTGTGTGAACCCTCATGTGGATGTTCATAGCGGCCCTCGTGACGAAGCCCTTCCCACACATGCTGCAGGGGTAGGGCTTTTCCCCTGTGTGAGTTCTGACGTGACAGGTCAGGGTGTTGCTCTGTCTGAAGGTCTTGTTGCAGATGTGGCAGGAGAAGGGCTTCTCCCCCGTGTGGCGCCTCAGGTGGCGCACCAGGTCACTTTTCAAGCCGAACTTTTCCCAGCAGATCTTACAGGAGAAGGGCTTCTCACCGGTGTGCGTAATCATATGGCGGAAGGCACTGTACTGCCGGGCGAAGCGCCGCGTACACAACTCACAGGAGTAAGGCTTCTCGTTCTGGTGCGTGACTCGGTGGTCTTGCAGCAGCAACATGTTGGAGAACTTTTTGCCACAGGTCTTACAAACAAAGGGTTTGGGTTCATTAGCGTCTTCGGACTGCTGGGAGCTCACTTCTTCCTGCTCCTCTTTAATCTGCAGAAACCCTGGTTTCTTTGAATCCACACTGAGGAACCTTTCTGGCTCAGTTGGAACGTCTTCCTGATAAACATGGTTCTGTTCTGTTAAGAAAAAACACAATCAGAAAAAAGTAAGTTAGTCCACGGAGCTAAACCATAAAAAAATTGACAGTGGAGTCCCAGTTGGTTCTGCACTAACGGGTCGACTAGGAGGAGCTCCGGTCTGGTCACTCTCAATATTTCTGCATCTGTTTTTGTGCAGTGGCTATTACCGTATTTTCACGACCATAAGGCGCACCGGACTAAAAGGCGCACTCTCAGTTATGTGTCCCATTTCTGTATTTAACACACACATAAGGCGCACCGGACTATAGGGCGCGTTTTTTATATACAGGTGCATGTCCTCTACTACCTTTAAATACCTCTACTGCGTATTTAAAAATACAGCGGGGGCAAAACTGAGTATGACTGTGCTTTATTCATGTATTTATTACAAAGTATTAATCAAACCTGGCAGCTGGCCGTGAGACAGACACATCGCAGATGACACAGCGCTGTGATCACTCCTAAATTAACTTAAAATCCTGAAACCTGCTGACGGAATATGTTCGCTTTTATTGCCGGTATCCTGGTGCCTGCAGTTTAAATTATTTAGATGAAAAACACCTGCCAGCAGCCGCGGTGAACCCGGAGGCTGCCCAGCCTACAGGCTGCTGATGAAGAGATTTCTGCTGTCAGCGCACCGCTGGTATGTGGGGGTCTGAGCGCCTCCGACAGAAATAGATAATCTGGATGAACTGACTGCAATTATTAAGTTTTCAGGTGGACTTTCTCACTTAAAAACATATTAAAACTACTTTATTCCCACTGATCACAGCAAATATACAGGTGCTGGTCATAAAATTAGAATATCATGAAAAAGTAGATTGATTTCAGTAATTCCATTTAAAAAAGTGAAACTTGTATATTATATTTTTACATTACTACA